AAGGTTATAAGGTCATACGCCTTGAAGTGCAATGTTTTCTGAACTGTGGACAACTTATATGTCATATGAAGAAATCAACAAAGCCAAATGGGTCAGGACAGAAAGGATGGAACTGATTTATGATGGCTGCTGATCTTGCAAGTCCCATGTTAAGATACATGCTGAGTGGTTTAAGATGAAGGGTTTATGTACTTGAAGCATTTCAAGATTCAGGGATGGCACCTTCATAGAAATACTGAAAGCAGGATGGACTCCTTAGCAACATCAGGAAAGTGTTCTTAATAACAAGAGAAGATCACTGATATACAGAGATGTTGCAAAGAAAGCTGTGGAGGAAGCAATTTAAGGACTTAAAAAAATAATAAAAAGCCTAAATCCTGGGTCACTTTGTGGATTTATGTGACTTCTTTGTTTGCATTTCATTGTTTTCTTTTATAACTTAGGGTAGTATCAGTCTGTTCTTATGATTTTAATTCATAAAAGTTAGATCCCTTATTTCTTATTCTCAAGGAGGGCATGTGCTGCTTTTCCTATTTCTTTAGGATGTGGGATTTAGTTGTTGTAACGAAATGTTTATCTCTCCTATCCCTGTGTTTTCCTTGTCCTTCTTTAGAGGGTAAAAGCTGGATTAGGATTAAGTGAAACAGTCTTGCAATTCAGGATCTTCCTATTGTATTTAAAATCTTGCAATTTGGATTTGAGATTTTTCTTATTAAGGCTAAACAGAGGTAATTATTTGTGTTTGAGAAGAAAGATATCACAAGGTAAAACTGCTAGCATTATCTTCTAGGGGAGGCTGGTGTGGAGCAACAAATAGAGTTACAGTCAGGGATCCTCAGCTTCCATAGCCAAATGGGCTTCCTAGGGATGTGCAGGAGGTGAGAGCTCGGCCATCCTCGCTGTCACAAAAGTCCTTCCTCCATTTAACAAAAGAAAGGCATTTCTTTTCCCATCCCAATCTAACCATGGCTGGTTAGAGTCTGCTCCAAATACAAAAAGTCCCAAGGGAGCAAACGAAGGGACAGTTCAAATGAACACTTTTATTGGAGGCTACTTTCAAGACAGAGGCACATAATTTTTTCAAATTAATTTTAGCGGGTGTGCTGCAAAAAGGTTTGGAGGCCACAAGTAGAGTGGAAGCAATGACATATAATGGAAAAAAAAAAACAGATTTTAGAGTCAGATGTATTTGGGATCATGTTTTGGCCTTATATCTTGGGGCAGTACTTATATCAGTGTTTTAGACCTCATCTAAAGCTCCTTAAATTTGTTTGAAATTCTGGAACCTGTTCTTTCTTACCTATGATGCACTTCACTCATGGACAATGAGCCCTTCTTAGAGCTGCAGGCCCACTTCCCTCTGTGCTCCAGCCATACTTTCACAGAACTGCTGATGGCTCATCTGTCCCTCCCTAGACTGCAAACTATTTGTGAGCAAGGAGTGTGCATGCCCACTGTGTCTCCAGCACCTGGAGCAATGCTCACCCATAATACGTTTGATAAATCATTTATTAAAAGAACACATAGTTCTAATACTTGTGAAATGCTTTTTACCCAGATGTAATTATGCTATTCAAATGATATTTGGATCTAAAAGGATATTAAGAATATTTCTGAGGCCATGGAGGTATTGAATTTAGCATATGGTCAAGGACATATGGTAACAAATTCATTACCTCATTCCTAAGATTTTTACATACAAATTTAAAAATATGCTTTAATAGGGAAAAATTCAAATATGTTAAAAAATAGAATAGCATGGTAAATTCCTATGTACATATCATGTAGCTTTAACAATTATAGATTTATGGCAACCTCTTTCAGCTACATCCATCCCCTCTTACCCATCATCAGATTATTCTGAGTCAAACCTCAGAATAATCATTACTTCATTCATAAAATTTTCAGTTATACACAAATTTTAAAATTTAACCCACTATTCAATTTTATTTATCACAATAATTTAGTTGCTATATCTTTATGGACTTATTTTTTAATCAGCAACTTGGTATTTTTATAAAGGTTTCCTTCAGTAAATCTTTTATTAATATTTCCTTTTGCTTTTTCCCATAGACCTATATAAACTTCTCCTAGCATTTAACTGGAAACTGAATACCAAGAGGAAGCTTAATTTGAAAAGTATTACCAAACTGGAATTCCAGGGAAGCTGGTCAGAGCTACTTCTGACTCAGATATTTTTTGCAAGCTTAAGGAACTGTGATGGCTAAGGCAGAAGCAAGATTTTAAATTCATATATATTCTCTCCCACTGGGTAAAGATCCCTATGAGCCCAGAGGCATGATAATCTGGTTATTTTTGTGAGAATCCAGTACCTCTAACTACAGCCACAGCTAACTTTGAAAAGTGATTCTTTCTTCTGGTGATGACTTATAATCACATAAAGTCTTTGAAGATACATATTCTGGAATTTAAACAAAGACTTACAGGAGATAGTCAGAGAGTAGCACCTCTGCCCCAGTCAAGGGACAAGTTTTGGGACTGAGGAGTTTAAAAATATGTGTGAAATCCCATGCTCAGATCTTCTTTCTACAGTCATTCTCCAATAAAAGGAACCAGGTCTCCTTGGACAGTTGGCTGCATTTTGGACCAGGGCAAGAAACACAAGAGATGAGCATGAACCTGGAACAGGGTAGTGCCAGAAAATAAGAAAATTCTACATAAAAACAACAAAAGAAACCTCAAATAAACAAAAATGCATTCTAAACAAAAACCCCATAATGAATCTGTCAAAGAGACACAGGAGCCAACTTAGAGTGTGAATGGCCAAAGCTGGTGGAATAGTCTGAGCAATAAAGAATTATTGAATAATCTAAATTAAAGAAAAAACTGTGCCTGAGTCCATACTGATAAGAATAAACAATTTAAAAATAAATGAGAAAGAAGAGAGAAATTTCCCATGCATAAGAATTCCAAATAATTTTGTATCTGCTCTGATCCCAAGAGCATGGAACATAATGCCCCACTAAAGTGCGGGCTGTACGCAGTGACTTCCTTCCAAAGAGTACAGTATGGAGAAAAGGGGAAAGGAAAGAACTTCACAGTGGAGAAACCTGGAGCAAATATTGCAGGGATCAGTCATGTTGATAGTATGAACCACTGACATGATGTCATGAAAATAGCACTTTACCTCTGTGGTTTTCCTTTCCAAACCCATAAAACCCAATCTAACTTTAAGAAAAATATCAGACATACACCAACAGAGGGATTCTATAAAATACTTAACTAGTATGCCTCAAAACTATCAATGACATCAAAAATAAGTAAAACCTGAGAAATTATCATAGCCAAGAGGAAAGTAAGTAGATGTGACAACTAAATGTAGTATCCTGAAACAGAAAAAGGATATTCGGTAAAAACTAAGGAAGTCTTAAAAAAAAAAAAAAAACAAACTATGACTTTAGCTATTAATATAAAAATATTGGTTCATTAATTGTAACATGTGTCCATAATAGTGTAAGATGTTATTAATAGGGGAAACTGTGTATGTGGTATAGGAAAACTCTCTGTGCTCTTTTTGCAAATCTAACATTGTTCCAGTGAAGTTTTATTTAAAACTGTCTGCTCAGCTTTGATCTAACAGTAAAAAATTCATATGGACATATTTTTTAAAATTTTGATAGAAAAGTTTAGATTCACATATTTTACAGATACAGTTTTGCCACATTATATACCCCCACCTGCCTTCCCCTCATTATTAACATCTTCTATTTCTATGGTAGTGTGGTAAAATTGTTACAATTAATGCACCAATATGATATATCATTATTAACTAAATTCCACAGTCTAAATAAAGGTTCACTCTGTGTTGTACAGTTCTTTGGGTTCTGACAAAATATAAGGTCATGTATGTACCACTATAGTATCATACAAAGTAGTTTCACTGCCCTAAAAATATGTTTCACCTAGTTATCCCTCCTCAGCCCCATGAAGGGCTGTGCGGTGTACATTTAAAAAAGGCATCTAAACTCTAGACTATGAACTAGAGTATTGGAGGCTGAACTCTGTGTGTCTGTGTAAGTGTGTGAGTATGTGTGTGTGTGTGTATACATGTATGTTCCTATATGTTTATGTGTCCATCTTTCCATGTGTGAGGTAACCCAAGTTCCTGAATGTTTACAAATAGTCTTTGGGTTTAAAAAGGAAGCCAAAAGGGCTGAATCAACTCTTACCATCTTAGCTCTACTCTACATGCTTCAGCTTTCCCTGGCTGCCTGCCTCTCCTTCTGTTCTGAACCACAATGTAAGTGAGCCTTGCAGGGTGGGAAATGAGCCATGACATTCATGGCCAAAGAAGCCAGTGCACGCACACAAACAGTGTGTATTTCTATTATGCTTTGGGAATGAAAGGAAAAGTGATATGTATCATTTTGTGATTCAGGAAAAGCAGTAATAAAAACCCTGACCTCCAGTTAGTGGAGGAAAAAAAAAATCATCCATCAATCAATGGATGTGCTGATGCCCCAGTATTACTTTGGTTAGAAAAATAATCCCACAAAACTCCCACTTTTCTCTCCTTTGGGTCCTAAAACTTTCATCACCACACTGCAGCGCATCTGTGGAGAAAAGCATGTGGTGAGCAGGCATGTTCACCAGGGTCCTCAGTGGTTGTATTTGTAGCAGTTGATCCAGTTTTGGTCTTCCTCTGTGAGGGAAACTTCCACCCTGAAAAGGTGGAGAGGATTCTCCATCCCCAGTCTTCATTCTATATGTGAATCTGAATACTCTTCATTATATAATAAAGACAGACTTAGGTGATGTTTCTTTGCAGCTCTGTGATCTTATTCTGGATTAAGGTAGCCAAGACAGGGTTGGAAATAAATACAGAAAACCAAATGGTGAAAAACTTTCTCTAAGAACAAGGGAAACCTGATCCCGGATAAGAGGAGAGATGTAGTACTTGACTAAAAGTTAGCTGAATCTGGCCAAATAAAACAGCAAAACATAGTAAGGGGTGTTTTATAAGATAATATATTTCATACCTGCTTGTAGAAATATCCTCGAAAGGGTAGAGGATCTCTCCATTGTTACAGATTTCGCAGATGAACCCTTTCTGGCTACAAAGACTGCAGCTGTACACGTGTGAGGTGGCAAATTTAATGACCTTGCCCAAGAACGGAGCCAGCTTTCCCTCTATCACCTACAGAAAGAGAAATGGAACAGGGAAGCAAATTGTTGAGAACAGAAGACTTACAGACACAGGAAAGGGATTCCTTTCCTTTACACAACAGGAAAACCTCTAATTATAATTTCTCAGCAACTTTGAGGAAGAAAAGACACAGTATTTTTGCTCCAAAAGAACTCGGGTTTAAACCACTGGAGGCTGGAAAATGAAGATGCTGAAGCTTCTTTTGTATTTCTCTTTTTTTATAGTGTGGTTGTAGGGGATTGAGGACCAACAGATGGGAACTCTACTTGAATAGACCAACTTCACAGTTATGGTATTGGTATAAGAGCAGTGTGGTAGGTTTCCTAAAATAGATGGGAAACATATAGGAAAAAGGTGAATGTAGAAGTTTATATGGTATATTTAGTAATACTTTTTCTCTGATAAATCAATGAGGTAGTTTTATCATCATGTCCCCCTCAAACACAAAGCAAATGTGGAAAGACAGGTTTCCTTAGCTGCTGGTGAGTACAATAATAGAAAGAGGCTGCAATGTGGCAGTTTGAGGGCCATTTTCAGCCTGTAAAAACAAAACAAAACAAAAACTGTAGTGTTTAAAAATAATGAGCCAATTTGGAGCTGGATGAGGTGGCATATGCCAGTAATCCCACTGACTTGGGAGGCTGAGGCAGGAGGACCACAAATTTAAGGCTTCCTGAGCAAATTAGCAAAAACAAAAAGAAAAAGGGCTAAGGATGTAGCCCGGTGGTAGTTGCCTAGCAGGTGGGAAGCCCTGGGTTCAGTCCCCAGCACTAAGGGAAAAAAAAATTTAAAAATTTAAAAATTGGGAGATTGCTCATAAAAACACAGATTTTTAATCTTCTTTTGAAAAATTACAAGATCTAGCAAAACTACTCTAAATTCTGACCTGATTCTGAGCAGGGGTTGCCTGCTCCCCTAGCCCCCCACCAGGCCCTGGTGTCTTGCATATGCAGCTCTTCCACTGTCACCTCACCTGCAAACACCTGTGAGTTTGGAACCCACGGTCAATCAGATCCCTCATCACTGAATTAACTTGATGGGCTTCAAAGACTTCAGCACGTCACATATCAACAATATAAAATCTGCCTTTACTCTTCTCTCATTAATGCATAACATGTGGATTTTGATATAAGAAAAAAATGAAGATTAGATTTAATTTAGAAATAGCCGGATGCCTTCTTTCAACTGAATACATAGTTAAAATTATAATTTTACATAGAACATCTGAGGGAAATGTCCACCAAGAAATCATAATGTCAAGGTGACTAAGTAATAGTGACAGGGAATAAAAAATAAAAAACAGAGAAGGTAATCATGCCTTTTACAAAACAATGAAGCTCTACTGCAACTAGAAACTGAGATAGTTTTTAAACATCAGGATGATGCCATAGTGTTCTCAATTAACCAAAACAATGATAAACTCTGGGCAGCAGAACAAATCAGAGAAGCAATCAGTTTGTATAAAGTTGTGTCTTTGCATTTTTTTTAAAGAGAGAGAGAGAGATAGAATTTTTTAATATTTATTTTTTAGATTTTGGTGGACACAACATCTTTATTTTATTTTTATGTGGTGCTGAGGATCAAACCCAGAGCCCCGCGCATGCCAGATAAGTGCGCTATGGCTTGAGCCACATCCCCACCCCATGTCTTTGCATTTTTAAAAACAATTAATTAACAACATTATTTTTGCACTAAAATGCAGAAAATGAACAGAAAACAATAAAGTTTACAGCTTTTTAAGAGTGGAATTATTTTCCTTAACAAGTAGGGTAGAAAATATCTTAGCTGATTTTTGAGTCAGGCAAGTGTTTTCCACCATTACTCAACTTATTCTCGCCTCCATAACCTTTAGGAAGCTGAGGATAGACCTCCTTTCATTTCTCTTCTTTGTGGATCAATGACTCTGATAAACTCCAGTTTTAGGCATGCTCCTTATGACACATGACACATGCTTTCTAAGAAATAACCACAACAAATCATATGCCTAACCACCATTAAACACTTCCCAATGTGTCATGGAGTAATTTCTAAATTGTGGTAATGATACTTCAGTTGAATTTAGTTTTCTTATTTTACTCCACTCTAAACAACCAAGGTTAATGACTCATTTAAAGAGAGACACCAAAATTTTGAACAGTATGGAAACCAAGTGAGTAAAGAAGAGGAGAGAAGCTGGGCGCAATGGGGCATGCCTATAATCCTAGTGGCTCGGAAGGCTGAGGCAGGAGGATCGCAAATTCAAGGTCAGCCTCAGTGAAAGTGAGGTGCTAAGCAACTCAATGAAACCCTGTTTCTAAATAAAATACAAAATAGCACTAGGGATGTGGCTCAGTGGTTGAGTGCCCCTGAGTTCAATTCTTGGTACTCTACCCAACCCCCCAACCCCCCAAATAAAAAGAGGATAAGAGAAGACCTTGAGGAAGACATGAGAGTTTTCATGTGAATATAAAGGAAAAGACTGAGCATCTTGTCATGAAGCTTTTTCTCTACCCAGAAAGAAGGCTTCACTGGGGCAAAGTGTACAAATATTTTGAAGGCTCTTGTAATATTTCACCAACCGTACACTGCCATTTCCTATCTAGGGACTTTAATGAGCTTTTTGAAAATTAACTTGAAGATTTCTATCTTCATAATAGTCTATCAGAGAACCTGCTACATGTCTGTATTTTATTAAAACTTCATTTATTATTACTTAATAAAAACCAGTTTTGTTCCTTGCATACCATTCCCATGTATTATTAGGTTCTTTCAAGGTTAACCTTTTGAATAATATTTTTATTAGCTTTTTCTGGGATACTAGAACATCTTGACATTTGTGTTCATCTTATACATGACCATATTACTGCATTTTCATCAATGGTAATCATTTTTAGGTGATTTTCTTGGGTATTATTAAAACAAAAATTGGATTCCTCCCTTTTTAATACTATGCCTCTTGCTTAAGCTTTATGTCATATTGCATGATTTATGGCTTCTAAAACAATAGTAAGTAACAATACTAGTGATAGTGGTTGCTCTTGTTATTTCATTGAGAGTCAAATTTAAAGTATGAAGTCTACTTTGAATGACTCATTTTCTCTACTAAATATCATGTCATTTACCACGTTATTGATTCCTTCTCCCTCTTTTAAGTAACAGCTTTATAGACAGATAATTCACATATCATACAATTCAACTATTTAAAATCTACAATTCCAGGGCTTGGGATGTAGCTCAAGGTAGAACACTTGTCTAACATGTTTGAGGCCTTGGGGTTGATCCCCAGCACTGTAAAACAAACAAACAAAAGACTCCCCTAAACAGAAAACAAAAAATCTCTCTAAACCCTACAACTTGATTGCCTTAGTTTATTCATAGCTGTATCACTAGAATCAGTTTAGACATTTCACCAACTTTCTTCTAAACCCCCACACCCATTAGTAATTACTCCCCATCTTTCCCTGCCCTTTCTTTTTTTCTATAAATTTGCCTAGTTAATATAAATAGAATCATACAACATGTGGTATTTTTGTGGTTGAGTTTCTTTTCAGTGTTTCCACTGTAAGTCTCTTTTTTTCCAACCTACCCAATCCTCTTATTACCCATTTCTAGATTAATGAGATAATCTAGTTTTATACATCACTTTCATCATATATCATCTTTTCTCTCAAGGCTTTGGTGAATTATTGTTTTATCACTAATAAAAACTCTTCCACATTCATTTCATAAAATTTTACTGAGTTACAATGTCTCAAACACCTGATACAAAGATAAATGGCACAAAACTGGGATTTATGTTTTGCTTGGTGTGCAAGAGTCTCCGTAAGTTGACTCTACACTATTGATCCCAACTTATTTTCCATTTCTCAAAAACTCATCTTGTGTTGTAAGCAAAATTTCCCTGCACAAAGTATGTTTTCTCTTGCTCCCGAGCCCTTATTCATATTATCTCCTCTACTGACAGTTTTACTTCTTAAAACTCATTTAAATTTTACATAGGCTTCATGGCTTAGGTCTATTCTGGTTTGATCTGAAAAGCTATCTTTGGCTACTTCAGCTCCATGGACCTTTTATGCTTATCCTTATTTATTTTCACATCAAAATATTTAATTTTGCTGTTTTGTGCTCTGTTCTATTATTTAATATGTGAGTGATTTGCTTATCCAATCATATTGACCATACAAAAATAATGATTTTTGACCATTTACATGGGGCAACTAAAGGAAAGTAAATTGCTTGAAGGGAAAGAGTCCCTCTCTGTCAGTTCTCGTTGACTAACCCAGAATGCATTTCTGTCTCTTCCCTTAGCTGTTGGCAGTCATATTTTGGGGTTATCTTTGTGTCACAGCATTTTCAGTCACTGTGTTATATGGTTTAGGGAGAAGCATAAATAGTGCCTGGACCAGGTGGCAGATCACTTATGAAGAAGCAAAAAGGATTCCTAAATAAGTGATCTGCTTTAGGATTGCTTTTTCTTATTTGTCAGCTTAAGTTGGTGGCCGGGTTCCACATGGCTAAAATTGCTGGAATATTTTCTTTCTCCAGAAAACTGAGGTAATATTCTTAAATTTATTTTAGAAATTACAAACATTCCTTTAATATTATAGAAAGGAAAATGTTATAATTTTCCAGGGATAAGATATTTAAAAGGCTTAAATCTTGTCTCTGAATATGACTATTGGTGGCATTAGGAATAGAATCCAGTTATTTTGGTTTCTGGTCTAGAAGTTTCATCATTATGAAAAGTGGGCTCAGGTATGTTATTTCCTTGGTTTTTTTTTTAAATAAGGTATATCTTTATTTTGGTTGAATCCTCAAAAATAAATCAATTGTCATTTCTTCCACAGCTTCCCCTCCATTGCTAATAACCTTGTACTATTCATGCCAACTTCCTAACCTTAAAGTTAAGTGCTGATGAAGAGCCACCCCTAGCAAGAGGGCAGCTTCAAATAAGACCAAAGCTCAAGGAGACTAATACTGTCAGTTACAACTGAGAATGAAGAATAGAAAAGAGCTTCCAGTATGCCATTGGATCTGGAAATTGACAATGGGTGGGGCAAAGTCCAACAGGATCTCCTGGCCAAGAACACAGCTATGAGAAAGGTCAGAAGGTGGACACAGCTCTGTCCACCCTAAGCTGGTATGCCTCACCAGAGTGACAGCAGTCCACTATAGCCAGAATGGTGGTGGTGGGATCCTTCTGATTAGGTATCCATGCTAGGTTTGACCCCGGGGATTCTAATATCACTGAGAACCAGACAGGACTGAGCAGGGCAAAATAAACCACCTCCTTAATAAAACTGGCCAAAACCTGTTTTTTCTTTCTTTCTTTCTTTTTTTTTAAAGGCATAGACATAATCATAGGTCAGTTTATGCTTCTCAACAACTTAGGTGTATTTTCCAGTGCATGATAGTTTGACTCATTAAAGTCTCCTAAAGAGGCTGACATTAAAGATCTTTCAACACCCCATCAGAACTTGGTTGTCTCTGGGAAGCAATGGAGGCAAGTGGAATAAGCAAGCTGATTTCAGTACAAATTCTAGTTCATCAATTTTACAGCTGTGAGACTTAGGGAAGTTATTTAACCTCTTTGGGCTTCAGTTTTGTCAACTGAAAAACTAGGATAACATCCACCTTGCAGGAGCATGGGAAGGATCAGATTCAATGTACTGAAAACACCAAACACAGTGTCTGACTTAGAGCAAGTGGTCAATAAATAATGGCTTATTACTAATAATCCAAATAGAAAATTTCTATGACTTGTTCATTTCTCTTTGCAGACACTTGAGATTTATAGTGAATAAGAAAACAAAGTATGAACTTCGTCTATCATTATTTTAAAGGCATCAAGTTGTTATACAGTTTGGATGACATCTGTAGAAATTAAGGTAAAGCCATCTAATCCATTTCCCTGGTATTGCTGTAAATAAGAGAACAGAGTTTGGACAAGCATGCTTTGGCAAAGGCCAAAATGCTGGAGGGATACACTTAGCACATCTCAAATCTAACTGGAATCACTAGTGTAAGATAACATTTTAGCAACACCTGGAAATTGTCCTTCTTACTCCTTTCCTGTTTGTAATCAAATTAGTCACAGGTTAATATAATTTTATAACAACCCATCAAATGATAGAAGAATACTTCATCTTTAGCATTAGAAGGCTAGTAGTTTTAGTTAACCAGCCTGGTTAACTGGATTGGTCATGAGCGATGGAGAAATAGACCTCTGAGATGATGTTATTTCTCCATTTATTTTTCCCAAAGTACATGACTACAAACAAAATCATAACAAAGTAATTAGCAGAAAACATATGTAGTCCCCACCCCATCTCATCTGTCCCCTGCTCTCAACCTCCTCCACTTTTCCCACATACCAAACTGTCTATCTCCTTGAGCAAAGGTAAATGTCCAAACTGGAGTAAAAGGGTTTGTTTCTGTTTTCCATTAACTTAACTTCTTATCCTAAAGAAGGTACCAGTTTTATTCATTTACTTGGGGAATGTGCATATAGGACTATTTCAGAGATGTCATATTGACTGGGTGTTTAAAGAATATATGTTCCATTTGTAATTTAAAATTATATAATCACAATTGTGGGTCAAGGACAAAATGAGCATCAAGCTGATATCTTCTTCCATCATTTCAGGTACTTCCAAAACTCGAGGGACTGTCAAATATCACCTTCCACAATCCAGTCATCTGATATACCAAATATGCTTATTCTTCCTGTGCAAAGGCAGCCCACGAAAGCTGCCTGGATGAACTTCCAGCCTGGGGATACACATTTTTCCCCCTTTTCTATTCTGGTCAAGATGGTCAGCATTGGAATTTGAGGCCTATGGCTTTCTTGCAGACTAAGACAACAGACTTTATTTGATTTACTTTCTTGCACACCAATCAAAAATTACAATTAAGTTAAAAAATAACCTAGTGCTGCCTTCTCCAAACCACAGTTTCAGAAACAGCTGCTTATTACTCATGTGTGGCACCAGGAAATTGCAGTGTCATGTTCGAGGTCTGTAGCCAATAGAGCTTTGTGGGCTCGGGAAAAGGGCACAAATGATTCTTTTATGTTGGTTTACCTTCACTCCCTTGGCACCACCACAAAATTCAAAATCTACAGGGGAAAGGAAACAGAGCACTGGTAACTTGGACCAGAAAAAAAGAACAGAAAAGGCTCTTTCTCATCACATTTCTTTATGCATTGGCTAATTCCCTTCCTCTGATTTGTCAAGTTACCTTCCATTTCAAAATGAGTCATTGTGTAACATCAAGATTTTGGACAACTGGGGAGAATACTCAGATGAAGAAGCTGCTTCACTTGACAAATGGCTCCTTCTCTAAAAGTCTAACCAAAAGACTCAATTTATGTTGAACAAAGCCACCTGGCACTCACTAGGAACATGTCAGCTTGATGAAATGGCAGAACCAATATTGCCACACACTGTGAAATAATTTCCAGTATAATCACATTTGCTTACCTAGACAACCATGAAAGCTTGCAGTTTGTCTCTGTGTGCCATTTCTCAGCATAATTAGGTAGACAGAGTAATGTCTAGTGACTAAGGCCAGGTGAGTTCATGGGAAGTTGGGAAAAATGAGCCCATGGATTCTGCTCAAGTGTGAAAACCTTCACACATACTATATCCTCCGTGTGAACCCTCATTGAATTCTAAAGTATAATCCTTCCATTCACAAATTGCTAAAAATAGAAAATAAAAAGTATATCACCAAAAGTTTATGAGATACTTCTACTTTTTAAAAAAAATATTTTGTTAGTTGTCAATGGATTTTATTTATTTATTTATTTATTTGCAGTACTGAGAATCGAACCCAGTGCCTCACACATGCTAGGCAAGTGCTCTACCACTGAGCCACAACCCCAGCCCTTCTATTTCAATAAGTTGATTCAAACTCCATTTTCTCATAATTTTCCTTTGAGCTCCTTATCACAGCTCAATGTTGGTAATGTTTGTACATAAATATAATCTATGTCTTCTCTAATCAGCTTCTCTCCATTTCTCCCTATCCATTTTGGGTCAGCTGAATAGGACTTAGATTTTGGTTACTCAAGCTGTGTGCTGAGGATTGTGATGTCAGCAATGAGCTCTTACCTGATCTTGTAGAAGTGACAACTTCTGCTAAGGCTTTGGAAGCTGTGTGATAAGCTAATGTGGTTTAATATAACAGGGCAGAACGGTGAGTGGCCATGACCATTCCTGTCATATTATGTTTTGTTTCCTACTGAAAACTATCTGAAGGGATAAAAGTTTAAGGAATTTCAATTTCAATTTTTTCAGTGGTTAGAATGGCAAAGATGGAGCCAGTGTGTGAAGTTCTTATTCGGAAAAAATACATGGAATGGGACTTATTTCAGTTTTTCTGCACTTAAGTGCCTCAAGGGGTGTGGCTCAGGTAAGCTATAACTTCACAGAACTTTAATGAAGCATCTACAAAGACTAAGGACAATAATGTGGTTCATATATTCATATGGTTGGATACAGGTGCATATGTATTATATATGGGGAAACAGATTTAAATGATTCAAATTGAGACAGTTCCACAAAATTCCCTAGGATGATCAGAATTTTGCTTCTCTGTTGAGTTAATTAGTATATATTTGAAAGAAATTGAATTTGTCTTTATTATTCATTTTAGCTCTAGTTATGGCATTACTGATTCATTGATTAGTAAATGAGAAAAAGCCCCAAGTGTGTGTGTGTGTGTGTGTGTGTGTGTGTGTGTGTGTGTATGTGCACGTGCGCGGGTGTGCGTGTTTCTTAACTCAATTTCCTTTTTGATGTGTGAAAATACTGAGGCCCAGAGAGGTGATGGAGCTGCCTCAGATTGCCCAGCAGGTCGGTGATAGACCCTCACTTTCCCTTTTAAGAGCCCCTCACTTTCCCTTTTAAGAGCCCCTCACTACTAGGAAGGACCTATTCCAAGAGCATCTGGGGTCAGTGTGCAGCCCAGTTTGAGATCAATTCAGAAATTCTGAGGTCACTGTGTGCCTACTTTACTTTACATGTAAAGATGGAGAATTTCTAAGACTGTCTCTGTTACAGGATGGGCAACCCAGGCAGGCCCATGTGTACCCCCACAGGTTTGATCTGAACTGGATGCGCCATTGGCTTATAGAAAGATAGTGTAAGAATTCTCTGAAATGGTCACATCTTGTGCATTTTTTTGACTATAGTGATGATCTTAGGTAGTATCTTAGTGGTTGAATTACTTGGGAGGTGCATAAAGCAACCCCAAATTTGTGACAAAAAATAGACTTGCTATCAACTTAAATCCTATTGTATTTATCAAAACTGGAGAAGGAACTTTATTAAAAAGAGATGCAACAAGTTGGAAAAAACAAGGCAAAAGAAAGCAACTCCGCATACACATGAATATGGGAGAAACTGAAAAAAGATAGCTTCTCAGACAGGACTTCAGTGGTGGCCAAGGTGAGACATCTTTACAGAACCTGCTTTTAAATAGAGAATAGAAGAAAAACAAAAGCAACACTGATCCTATAAGGGAATGAACCATAAGAGTTAGGAAACATGAAGATCAAAAGCAAAGAAGGGAAGGAGCTGTAGGGAAAGAAGTTATGAAGACCAGAGAAAGAATAGACAGATACTCCTGAAGAGAGAGAAAAAAGGATGTAGCCAACTGAGATTTGAAACGGGAGTTAGAAATCTTGGTTTCTGATGGGTGCAGTGGCACATGCCTGCAATTTCATTGATTCAAGAGGCTGAGGCAGGGGAACTGCAAATTTGAGGCTAGCCTCATCAACTTGTAAGACCCTGTTTCAAAATTAAAAATGAAAAGGGGCTATAGCTCAGTGATAAAGCATCCGTGAGTCAAATCCCTAGTACAAAAAAAAAAAAAAAAAAAAAAGAGAGACAGAGAGAAAGAAATCTTGGTTTCTATTCTCAGTCATGTCCTGAGTAAAGCTGTATGACCCTTTCTTTTTTCTTTTCTTTTTTTTTTTTTTTAAATATGACCTTTCTTGTAGGTCACATAACTTCTTCATGCCTCAGTTTCCTCATTTACAAAATAAAGTGATTGTGCTAAGTCATTCAAAACTAACTGATCAATAAGGATCCCTTTCAGTTTGAACATTCTATGATTTTATGATTAATGAACAGAGAAAACATCAAAAGAAGTCGTTGAATAGCCCTAGGAATGTAGAAAGGGAATATCTGGGGAGACAGATAAAAGGTGAGTTTAACCAGACTAATTAGAAGATACCCCAGGAAATTTTTAACAGAAGTGAAATAATGTCACCAGCTTTTTATTCCCCTGCTTGCTGAGTGCCATTCAAAGAGGGAAGTAAGGCCTTTTAGGTATCATCCCTTCACAGGTGTGCAACCAGATATCAGTTTTCCTCTGAAAATCTCTTCCTCTCATCAATGCATTTAATTAGTCAATGTTTAGATAGCACTTTGGGGATGAAAAGTACAATATAAGCACTCAACATTATTAGTACTTAACAGCTTTTATGGGGACAGCATTGACTGAGATTAAGTGAGAAGCTAAAGTGAATTCCAGGCTAGAAGGCTATGGTCTGAGAAACTGCCAGGTCACTGATGAAGAAAAGCAAACCCTGCACATAAACTGAAATAGGTGCTCTTATTAGCTTGCATTCCATTGCCCAAGACTGTTGGTCATCTTTATTCTTTGCCTGAAGGTGTTAACAAGTCGTAAACACCACTCACAACACAGCGCTGGTTATGATTCCACAATCTTGTTTTTTTAGACTAGTATCTGGAGTGCTATGGGTGTTCCTATATCTGGGCATGTGTATAACCCAGGATATAGATTCAAATATGTAGGAATTTTGTGTACAATAAAGTGGGTACAGACACATTATTTAATAAATGTTATTGGGGCAACTGGTTACCCATCAGGGGAAAACTAAAGCTGAATTCCTTATTTGTGTCATAAAAATTGTAATTCCTAATTAACTGAAGATTTCTTTACAAATAGAAAGTCATATAGGTATTTTTAAATTAAAAAGTAGATAAAATATTAGAAAAACATTTATGAGAAATAGACATTTTATAATAATAGAAGCTACATGAGTGATAAATGTGAATATGAAGTAAAAATTAGTAAAGACAAAATACCACTTACAACATACAATGATAAAAAATGGCTATTTTTCCTATTTATATGAAGTGCTAATTTCATTAATATAACAAAGCTCTCTTTCAAATTAATAAGAAAAAGACCAACAATATAATTTTAAAACAGGCTACATAGGTAATTCACAACAATTACAAATCTGATAGCAATATAAAAAAGATTCTATAGTGGTATGTGCAATGTAAATTATATATTTCTACAATCATGCTTTATAGAGCTGTCATTGTGTATTTTACAATTTGAACACTTATAAAAGTGACAATTGATATTTGTTATTTAAAAATTAAATACAGAAGTGTGTGTGTGTGTGTGTGTGTGTGTATGTGTGTGTGTGTGGTGCATGCATGTTTGTGGTACTTCACATATATAGGCGAGCACTCTACCACTGAGCTACAACCTCAACCTCAGAATTACATATTTTTCCAAGAATTATATTTTTAAAGTCTATTCTGTCTCCTGCATCTCATTCTACAGAAGTATTTTTTTAACCCATTACTATGGAAAAATTGAAATTAAAACAACCATATTAAGTTATTTTTATTAAATAGGCTAAAATTCAAAATATTAATATACAAAATTAATATAAGTACAGGAAAAGATACTGTCAAGATACTCAGGGGAGGTACAAAACTAGTTCCACCTTTTCAGAAAGAAACTGGCAGTGTCTATCAAACTGCAAAGCAAGCATACCCTTTGACCTTGCAGTCTTAGTTTAATGAATTAACACTAGACACAGTCACATAGCACACAGGGAGATGTGGAGGTATTCACAACAGTATAGCTCCTAACAAAGGCACTGGGTAAACTGCAAGAGGTTAAAATGAACTCAGAGGTTTAAGTTACCAAACTTAACTTATCCAACTAAACCTAAGTTACCTTACATATAAATTAACTCTATACTATATAGCTGATAAAAAGAATGAGGTGAATTTTTCTGTGTACTGAATGTGTATATATGCCAAATGTCCACAGTATATTGTTAAGTAGAAAGGTCAAGACAGAGAACGTAGTAAAGTTTAATTCCGCCAAAAATCAGTATTTGTAAATGTTAAGAACTGTCTGGAGAGACATAAAATGGCTACAAAAAAAAAAAAAAAAACTACCTCTGTAGAATGAGATGTAGGAGAGAGAACAGACTATAAAAATATAATTCTGGAAAAATATGTAATTCTGGGGTTGGGGTTGTAGCTCAGTGGTTGAGTGTTTGCCTAGCATGTGTGAAGTACCACAAACCACACACACACACACACACACACACACACGCACGCACACATACACTCTTCTGTATTTAATTTTTAAATAACAAATATCAATTGTCACTTTTATAATAAGAAGTGTTCAAATTGTAAAATACACAATGACAGCTCTACAAAGCATGATTGTAGAAATATATAATTTGCATTGCACATATGTAAACATTATAAAAATGTTTAAAAAACCTTTATTTTTGTTCTCTTATAACCTATGTTTTCACTTTTTCCTAATAACATTTATTTTCACAAAATTTTCTTTTAGCAAATCTGTCATGATTACATCAGTCCTGATGCTTGTATCTAAGGAGACCTGCCTGCCTTATTAGTTTTTTTACTTATGAATTTTTCAAGTTTGGAAGTTAACATTGCCTATTCAATTAGAATGACATATAAGAAATGCAAAGCATCAACAGCCATATCTAATACCAGGCAATTTAAAGTTGGATTTGTTTACATAATTATCACTGAATTCTAGACATTTAATCTTATCTTTCTAAATACTAGACTGGGAGTTAGTAAATAAGCAATCGGCTGGGATGAATATTGTGTTTTCTAATAATTCACTTAAATATTTAAAAAATGTCTTCTACCAGCTAAGACCCAGCTCTGTTGGGTCAGTGTTTTTTCCTTCTTGCCCTAGTCAGAGAGGACCTATTCCCAGTGGCTCCATGGCCTCAAGCACATTACTTGATCTAGATCACCTGGTTGGTCTGATAAGTTGTACCAGTTTCAGACTATGTTTTTTAATGAACAGTAAAAGGAGGAGAAACCGTATTGGTATCAGATTTTGAAATTCATTTCCCCTCCATTGAGAGGTTACAATATTTCTGTGCAGGGGAAGTACGTTACCTGATTCCAAACTAAGTTTTACCACTTAATCTGATGTTAATCCAAAAATAAGTCAATGTACAGACTGGCTTGCACTAGACTTCGCCTGAAGAAAGAAATGAAAACCTTGGTTTTACAACAGGGGGACATGCAAAGATAAGATAAGGTTCAAAGTGAAAAGCATTTTGAATATCA